CCAGTGGGATCCCAACGGCTACTATTACCCCATACAGATTGCCCAGTTTGGACTGAACTACTTTAGTCAGTTAAGGTCTGTGCAACTGGCCACCACAAATCCATCGCCCCCCGATCCGGTATCAGAGTCGTTGGATGTCGTGGATATTAAAGCAGAGATAAAACCTCGACCAACCCGATCGGCCAGCTGGAAGTGCCTAACCAGCGCGCCAGGACGCCCATGTTTGTTTGGTAGGTTTCCTCCGGACCATTGCCCGATCCTAGTATTACATGCGTTACTTGGATCTTAGCTTCCTTTGATAAACCGGCTCGGGAATGGCCCGAGAGACACAGGTCGATTCCTAGCGCGTACTTCTTGTAAACCATCTGACGCGCTAGAATTTATCACGGTACGCTAAAAGTCGTGGCTTGGAAGGCTGCCAACTGACGATATAACTCGGACCCAGTAGTCAACTTATTGTGTGGAATGACTGACTGACGGACTGAGAGTCTGGCTGCAATGGAAACTTCTTAATGTGGCCTTTATGACACTCCCACTCAGCTGGAATCCTAGCCAGGTGTGCCGACACGCTTAGGGGGCGGTTCCGACCGCGTCAGCCACCTGTGCCCCAGCCCAACTCCGATTTTCTTGACTCTGTCCTTAAAGTAGGTCCGTGTGCGTGAGTGGAGCAGGTAATGGGCTAGATGCAGCGTAGGTATACTTTCACTATAATCCAGCACAAGTTACCGTCCCTACACCACCCTGCTGTGGAGTACGCGGTGGATCTCGTCGAAAACGACGGTCTAACTGTTGTAATGTGCCATAAGCATATATTCCTGAACGTTGGCCTTCCTATATCTTGCCTTTCTTATGCCTGAACAAGGGTCTGTGGTGGCATACACAGGCGTGGGTTCACGCCGTGCTATACACTTGCACCCGATCCCGCCTCCGGTCTTCTTGACGCTGTTATGACACCGGACACAGTCGAGTGAGGAGGAGAGTTTCCGATAGATGCTGCGCAAGTCTAGTATCACTTTCAGTTAATTTACATGCAAGTCACTATCCCTGTGCTAATGTCGTGAAGCCTACTTTGAACCTCGTAAGAATCGACGATAGAACTGTCCTCTTTATGAGTACGATGGCATACTCTTTGGTCTTCCGTTTGATGTGCGATCGCTACCAATGCGACTACGCCATCACTCACCATCTAGTATAATATGCGAGCAGTTGGGATTCACAAGGTGCTCTTTACATTAGTCAACTGACCTTGTTTACAACAATGACAGCCACGGATTATGTATTCCTATAAACGTCATCTGTAGCTCTGACCGTCTGCAAAGTTTCCAGCCATATTCATTAATGAACGCTCATTGATAGTTAACGGATTTCACTCTCCTCATTTTGTCTTCAATATCGCTCTCGGGCCTCACCCATAGTCGCACAGCGGCTAGTAGCCTAGGCGGAAAATCAGTAGGTCGCAGGTTACAGCCTTAGATGGTGCGCCACCTGGGGTTGGGTATGGCTGACTGATGACGGCTAATGAACCAAAATTGGCCATTCCAGTCTCCTTTGTTTTTGCTAGCAATGCCTATCTGCTTTCAGTCGCACCTGCCACTTTTTAGGATTTACGTGAACTGTATTCATGCCCTTATCTATTTTTTTGTTTGCAGGCAGAGCACACGAAGATTTTACCACTACCGCTGGCACCGTCGTTTTCGACCTCTCTCCTTATGCTCGCATTATTTCCCCTCCGTATCTCTTCCTAAACGGTACCGCCTGGCAGCTTAACTCCAGCCTCGTCTTGCGACTCACTTTGCTTTCTTCGGGCTCCTGGGACACGCAGATCAGCGTGGAAGTACAGTACATTTGCTCTTCGCATTTCGAAGGAAGTCTCTTTTTCGTAAGCACGCAACCCGACATCGCTTATGTTTTTCGTTAACTTTTAATGGCTACCTGTTTTACATAAGTAGCACTAATATTGCCATCGTCACCTGCCTGCTTTCTGTGTGCTTGTAGTCTAACCAGTGGTGGGCGGTCGGCGAAGCCGACGATGTCGCTCTCAAGGTCATTTACTTTCTGCCCTCTTGCGCCTCTTCGGCATCCCACACCAGCGGTCGAGTGCTTCTAGCAAGGAACCTGCGGGAGGATGTGGTGAAGGCAATCAGGGTCCTGCAGCGGCTGCATGGCCGAGATCCGCGCCTCAAACTCTTGCTTCACCTGGCTGATGGGTTCGCCACGTAAGTTCTCGCAAATTGACAGTTCGACTACACTACCAAAATTTTCGGCCTGCTAACTGGTGTGAGTCTTAGTCAGTCAGCACCTGTCGTGTATCGCATTTGAGACGCCACTTGCATGGTCAGATTGGGTGGGACCAGTACATTACTTGAAGTATCTACATACTTTCACCGTCGAATGGAGACTGGAAACTTTATTGTTGTTCTAGAGGGAGAGATAGGCACAGAATAAAAACAAGGTAGAGAGACTATCATAATTCATTAGGAAGGATTTATTGGCCGCACGTTTTCACAGGAATGACCCAATCGGGTCGTAAACTGTTTCCAAAAGTTTAAGTACCCCTCTGAAACCCCTAAAGCCAACGGTAAGAGCCCCTAATCTTCCAATAACACAGACCAAAAGTCTGGCCGTGGTATGTGGATGATACCTTCGTCGTCATCGAACGGGTTAAGGTGTACATCTTCAAAGAACGGCTCAATAACGTCTTTACGAACATACAGTTTATGATGGAGAAGGAAGAAAGCATACAGTTTTGCCTTCCTTGACTAGGTCCCATCGATTCTGAATTTTGGCGAGAGATGTTGTACTTCCAAAAACTATCGGAAGCCGTCCGCCGCCTTCTCACTCCACTTGGAGTTAGAGTCGCACAAAGACCAGAGGCAACTATGGAGAGGTTTTAGGTGATGAATCCAAAAGAGTTACTACCACGACAAGAAATATCTGAAGTCGTTTATCGGATCTCGTGCAGTTGCGGGCATAGCAACTATTTCAGCAAAACTGGAAAACTTTTCCGAAAGCAAATTACTGAACACGCGGCAGCAGTGGGGAGAATAACGCCATTTCTCAAGTCGCGGCCGCACATTCAAATTGGACGAGGCCAAAATTCTCGCGAGAGGAGACAATCGTGTGAGCCGGGAATTGCTTGAGTGCTGATTTACAGGCCCCAGTCTAGACAAGTGCAATGACCTACCCAACCCATACTCAGTGCTCAAGCTCAGTTTCGCCAAAGCATTTCGCCACTCCGGGAGCGCACAAGCCAACACACCTTCCAATGCCCATGTCGATGCGCCAGGTGACCGAGCAATCCTCACGCCCAAGTCCAGCACGGATGATTAAAGTTCAACAGGTCATGACCCGCGTACAGGCCATCAAGCAATTAGCGCACAAACGGGCAACCATCCTGGATGAAGTGGGAGCCGTTTATTGTCAAAAGTATGCAGTAGCATAGCGTCTGCATCCTATAAACACTACAACTCTCTGTGTAGGAAATATCCGTTGCTGCTACTATCTCGGAGGGAATCCAAAACGTTGGGTGGATAAAGTTCTTGTCCAAGCGATCGCGTCCCAGACACCTACCACCCATCCTGCATGCAGTAGTGTAGAGTTCCTTCTATACATTAGGAATCTCAGCTTAGCTACAGCCTTTGTGGAGCGTTCTAAAACCTAAGTCCATTGGCGTTGTCCCATGATACATTTAATTGTAGGAGTCTGTCCGCCTGTGCAATAAACTATCTAGATACAGTCATACCTCGGACATTCGCATTTCTGGATTCGCTAATTTTTCGCTGAAACTTGGTTAATTGGTATCTGCGATTTTTTAACAGATCTGTGAAATTTGTGAACTCAACTCGTATTAAACATTCGCGATTCCTCCTGATTCGCGATGGGTTCTGGAACGTAACCTTTAGGAGAACTTCCTTACTCTCGGTCCAACCAGCCGCATCCGCCAACACTGTTGTAACGGTAGCCAAGGCCGAGATGTCACCGCCTAATTACGTCTTGTGTGGGCCCCCAAGGAAGAACACGACAAGAAGAGAGCAAAAGCAGAAGTCCTTGAGCGTATATTTAAGGTGACAAACGAATGCAAAGCTAGATCCATCGGGCCAATCAGCTTCTATCCTGGCGTGACTAGCGACACGATTGGCTTGTGACTCAGTGGCTGCCTGCAAGTTAAATTTTAAACTATTGATTGATTGACTGTCTGTATGCGTTCGCCCGTGTAGGCCGATCGATAGCCTGCCGTGAGCGCGCTCGCTACCTGTATGTTAGCTGTCCGTTAAGCGCCTCCTAACAAACACGACCAGTAGTTGTAACTCAACAAACGGAATAAGTTTCCCCGTGGGAGGGGGAAGGGGGAGGATTCGTTTGTTCGATTGGCTTTCAGATAAGCAGCTGAAATGTGCAGTTTTTACTATCTACTAAATGCCAATTGTTCTGCTGCTTATGGAACCCCGTGGGATCTTCAAACCTCTCATTAGGGTGTACTGTAGGTATGCAACATAGCAAGGTATGCAATGCTCGCAAGTTACTTGTTCTGGCATCAGCAGTTTTTAGATTTTTGATTTATAATCCTATCATAAACTTATTTATAAATGAACGG